ATCAGATTTGCTGATAATTATGTCTATTTTCATTTGTTTCAATGTACTTAAAGGCTACATGTTTCGTTTTTTAATCGATATTTTTTAAATATAAGATTTGTTTTTCCATTTTTTGGGTTTCAACTACTGAACCCGGCCGGATCTAGTGAATAATTTTGATAAGGGCCATGTGTGTGCGTTGTGGTGGTGTGGTATAGTCGACCTGTCTCTTATACACATCTAGATGTGTATAAGAGACAGTCTGACCACTTAGAGGTGTCATAAAAGTTGGAGTAGGCCTATAATAATTTCAGGGTTACTATAGAATTAGTAATTTTTAGCCATTATAAAAAAAAAATAAAGAAAACAGACAAAATTGTATTCAACGTTTATCTGAGAATGCCACTGACCATTTAGAGGTGCCATAATCATATTTTTTCCCTTAGCCCCAACTGTCGTGGTGCTGAAGTGGGTGAACATTCCATTAGTAAAAGACCCTCCCTGGGTCCCTTCTATTTTGACTTCCTGGACCCGCCACAGTTGGAGTAGGCCTCTCATTTCCGGGCTACTATAGAAGGGTAATTTTTATCCATCGGGGGGAAAGTGAAGGTTTCGTTGGAGAATACCCATATCAAGGATAACCCTCATGATTAATAATTCATTGAGATCGTGGAAGCAATCCCGACTTCGACTTTGCTCGGAAATCAATGGCGAAGTCTGAGAGTGCAATTTCTGATCTAGCGGTGCCATAATCAAAAATGTTCTTACCTCTGCCCCAAGCATGGTGGAGCTGAGGTGGTATAAATCCTCCATCTGCGAAAGTACCCAGTGGCAGATTCAAGAGGGCTTAGTTGCCCCCCCCCCATAAATTGTAAAAAAAATTTTTTTAATGTGAGATATTAAGAAAATTATATTTAAATTTTATGTCTGGTAGTGCATCTGGTGGCCATCTAGAGGTGCCAATGTCACAAAAAATAGTAGATCCTTTACCTGTGAAAGTAACACCCCCTCCCCCATTGCCCCCCTCATTCCGCCACTAAAAAAATAACAACAAGTATGAAGTCATATTACAGTAGCTTGATGCCTGTAAAATAACTAATCAAATTCACCAAACTTCATCAAAAAAATGTGTAGCTTCGCTCCCTTAGTGTCCCGCGGGATCTCAGCCTAGATGTTCGCTTTGCTTGCATACTGGACCTTATGAAATGCCCCCCCCCCCACTTTCAAAAACGTTCCGCCGTCGTTGAATTTGGATATATTATTTTCAATGCTCAGTATATACTACGCTTGCTGTCTCTTATACACATCTAGATGTGTATAAGAGACAGATCCTTATANAGTATATACTAAGCTTGTATTATGTTAAACAGTACATGATTCGAATTGTAAAAAAGTTAATTTAGAAACATTTGTTTAAATTTTATTTGCATGCTTTAAAACCTGAATTTGTTATTAATTAGATTTGAGCTTCAGCAAAGAAATCAGGAATTCCTACGCCCTCCAAGTATTAACCACTGACCTGGGAACAGAGAAAATGCAAAAGTATTTCATGAGGAAAGGTAAGCTGAGAGGCAAACATGAGGTCGGAAAGTTCCTGTCATGGCAGAGAAAAAATGGACCTTTAAAGAAAGTAGACTTTGGATACGAAGCAACAAAGATCTTCATTGACGATGTGGACATCGACTCGTTCGATATTACCATCCTGATGTCCTTAATTCAACATTGCTTTAGTCCTCAAGGCGATAAATTCTGGGACAATCCACCAGATGTTCAAGACAAATCCGAACTGGCAAATTTAAGACGCATTCAACTGTACAAAGAAAGCACTCTAGACAGTCATAGCAACAGGACTACAGATGTAGAGTTTGAGACACAGTGGAAGGAACTTGCCACGATCTTTAGAAATATCGGAGTTAGCAATGAAGACATTCAGAAATACCGCAAGCTAAGCATAGCACAACCAGTTAGAGGTAAAACTTACTTCATAGAATTTGTACTTTGAAATATGGAACAAATGAATTTGATATTATTAATTTCTATATTGCATCAGGCAGCTCTATCCGATTGATAACATACAAAACTGCTAAAGAATGAATATTTAAAATTGCAACTAAAGGTATTGCCATTGAAACCAACTAGTAACATAAATTAACCAGTTGTTTTAAACGTTACTGTATTTCCTAATTTTGATTTTACCTTTTTATTTATAATAGGGTTTGAGCAGGAAAACGTTGAAGAAATCAGAAATTTCCAAGTTATTCTATCAGCTGTCGTTGATGTCGGCACTGTAACTATGAGAGAATACTTCTTGGAGGTTGCTAATCAAGGCAAGACAAAACAAAACAAGGCTACTAAACTAGACAAAAAAGAAGTTGGACGATATCTGATGAATGAGAAACGAAGAGGTAGCTTCAAAAATGTAAAAATCACTCATGAGCAGAACGCAAAGATGTTCACACCAACAGCTGACATTGACACGTTCGATATCTCAATTATGTATTTGATAATCCGTAACTGTTGTTGTAGCATTCCATACTCATTTTGGAACAACCCAGATATACTGCATAGCTTGGTACACATCCATCGCTACAGGAACACAACGCTTGCACATTCTCCCAAAAGTAGAATGTCAAATAAAGAATTTGAGATCGAATGGAAGAAAGTGAGAGCAATGCTACACGCTGCTGGTGCTTCTTTAAATGACATTGACAAATATATGGGGCTAAGATTTATAAACTAAACGAATACGCCTACAGGCATGGAAAGGCGAAGGAGGTATGGTTAGATATTACTGTACTATGATGTACAACACTCAACCGACGTCATGGAACTGGCTCACTGACGTCATCATAACTGAATCAAAATTTTGTGCAATGCATGGATTTTCTTTGTTGTGTATTTGTAAATTCGATAATGAAACAATTATTTAAATTGATGTAGTACTGTATAATATAATATTTTACTTTTCGTGAATTTCTGATGTTTTCAATTTTAA